ATTCTATTGCAAACCGCTCACCTGGGTGCGCGTTGAAGTCGCCAAGTATAAAAACGGATTCCACACTATTAAGTTCAATTAGGGCATTTATCTCACTGAGACACTCGGTAAATTCGATTAAATTTTCATGCGCTGCTATAGGCATATACACTGAGATGACCAACAATGAGCGGTCGCCGAGTTCCACTTTTATTGCAGTAAGACGCACACTACTGCATACTAACACTGATACACACGGAAACTTAGACTTTCGCCATAACAAAGCCACCCCGCCGTAGGGTCTTCCTTTCAATATTCCGGTTGACGTATCTACCGCAGACTTTCCAGTAAAAGCAAAGTCACTGTCAATGCTCCCTAAATAGGGTATGTCATGAGGCAAAAGCCACGTCTCCTGCAGAGCAATAATGTCGGCCGTGCCGCATAAATCCTTTATGTCTCCAGTAGATCTTACCACATTTTTACAATTGAAACTGACAAACTTTGTTGTGTTCATTACTACGGGTTTAGTTTGCTGCTGTCTCCGTTCTTTTTATAACGATCAAAATCGAAAAAACGGCGGTATGCTACCCCCTCTGGCCAAAAATCATCACTTAAAAACATCTTAAGTTTATGTTTAGGCACAAACACTTTAAATGAATGATAATCTTTAGTCATTTTCATGTCAACTTTTTGTACGTTTACTGTCATATTAGATTTCTTCAAAATATAATTTTCAATGTCACACACGGACGTCTCCTTCGACACATTGTAAACAAATAATGGTATCTTCAGTTCCGCCGCTTTGAAATTATTATTCTGTTCTACATCAGCTCTTCCTCGGCTGCCCATAAAACGATTTCTTAATTTCTTTCTTTGTACAAGTATCCACTGTTCATCCTGCGCCTCTGGTTTCCATTTACCTTCCCGCACGACTTTTGATAATGGTTTTTTAACCAACTTATTTTTGAACGAAGTGACAGTGTGTCCCGTCTCAGACTTAGTAGGCGAAACCGGAATGGTGACAGGTTCAATGGGTGGAGCTTGTTGCGTCATGCAACTCGCATTGTTTACCTGCCCGCTCGCAGCTGATGTATTATTATTTACAAGTGACACCTCCATCGTCGTACGGGATTGATTAGCGATATTCCTACCCTCCGTTGTCTGTTGCTGTTTTGGTAATTGAGGCGGTGTAGAAGTGCGACAGTGAGAGTTATCAAGGTCGTTACTTGCACACACATGTGGTAGCCCCATCGGGCCACTGTCGTAATCATAGCTTTTTAACAAATAAGCACCCCTAACGGTGTTTACCCCACAGTGGCGGTCATCATCGCGCTGAAAGTTGTTAACTATGGAAACAGTTTTTAAGTTCTCAACATCTAACTTTAGTGTATCCAGTTGCTTAATAGTTGCGTACTCGTCAGTGATACGATCGATGTCGCTGCGCATTTTGACCAAATCCTTAAGAAGGCGAGTTACATCAACGTGATCAAAAAGAACCGGAGGTAGTTTCTGCAAGTCTCGTGCTACGAATATGGGAATTTCTTCAGGATTCGTTTCTTTTAAGAGACAAATAATATCATCAATATTTCTAACAGTTTTGCCCTGTCTTTTACGTGTCTTTTTGCGCTTCCCATTGGATATAGATTCGTATAACAAATTTTTTGCACACTCAATTTCACTTTCCGAAAAAGCAGTAACGCATATGCGGCTGATGCTCTCCTCGTCCATCACATCTATTTTATTAGCTATGAATGCTAGCACCTCACTTATTACAATGTTACAAGTAGAACATTTCACAAAATTAGACATTTTTTTTTAAACGGTAGCAATGACTATCACAGAGCGCTATAAACCGTTCGCGGGCGCGTTCGGTTCGCGATTAATGAAATTACTCCTTTCACAAAAAATAATTGAATGAATCAATTCAATAAAAAAATTTAAAACGTATGTAAGGTTATCAACTAATACAATTGTTCTGTGTTACAATAGTTTTACGACTTTTACCCAAATCTTTATTTGTCCTTAGTTGAGTAACAACGTCTACGTAATCCATGACACAAACCAAACTACATCCGAATCTTTTGAGGAAATCCACGAAATATGAAATAAGCAAGTTTTTTTGTGATACCAAATGACGGGACGAACAAGTCGTGAGCCTGGTGGTAAGCGACACGCCTGTCTGCCTGATTGTAGCGCCACTCAGAGCTTTAAATCGCAAAGATCTGAGGGGCACTGCCACTGCGCCCGTCATCCTGAGACATACTCGTAAGTTGACAAGTCCCATGTGCCTATAATTTCACCAGCACGCTTACCCTTCAAACCTGGAACAAAGTAATGTTCACATTACCGCTTGGCGGCAGAAATAGATAAGGTGGCAGTCTTCCCTGAATGAATTCTTTCACAACGATCTCTACTTTTCTTTTGAGCTGCGATGAGCGAAAAGATCGAGGATAAAACCTGCATGTAGGAAGATTCCTATTATTTTCAGAAGCCTATTTAGTCCCTGATCCAATCAGACTTTGACCTAAGTCCCCTCCGTTGAGAAGATACATTCTCTGTGATAAGCAGTATATCTACTTCTTAGCGTGTCGGCTTTGACGTTTCTTTTTATGAGGACCAGTACTGCTGCCGTCCACTAACTAAAGCGTAGCTAAGTGACAAATGGGAAAATTCTCTTTTAAAAACCGTTAAAATTAGTTAATGTATTCGACTTATCGGAACTTACCTTAATGATGCATAGCTGAAATATCATTAAACATTTTCAATATTCTAAAACTCGGTTATGGATTTTTACGATATCTCAAAAAACATCTTGTCACTTACCCGCGTTAGCGGACGGCAGACTTAACGACTGATACAACATTATCTGTGGCGTTGTACAGACCCTCGGGTGTACACGTACCTTTGAATAATGTATTAAGTGTAATAAATATATATAACAAAGAAACCTAATATATGCATATCTACATACATAATACATAAATATATATTTATATATGATACATACAATAACAAAAGATGATGATAATGATTATCGCAGTGACAAACTATATATGTACATATAAAATGCTCATGGACATCCTTTTTGAAAGAGAATAAACTAGGAGACCTTCTGATGGAGTCCGGGAGAACATTCCAGAGACGTTTAACACGTGGAGAGTATATAGTAAGGGTATTGACATTATTACCTAACGATTGCGTAATGGAAATAATAGAAACTATTGTTTCATGCTTTATCTGTGTTGCTCTTGCCGATTCAGCGCTATAAATAGATACATGTGGACGTTTGTGAAACCAAAGATAATAAGCACACTGACCGTTGTCAAACAACACAATAATAAGCACACGGTTCCCTAGATAACGTCTCATTTAGAAGAGATTTGTATGACATGTTTCACGCCCTCATGTAACATAATGGACATGTTTCTGTCTTCCTTATTGTTCTGATATTCTCCTTTTCTCACTAATTGTCCGTGTTTTTTTTAACCAGATTGTTTTTATCATTGTTTATTTTTATTCTTATTCTAAATTATAAATCTCGTTTTGCGGAAGTTGTTAATATCCTCAGCACGAAAAAGGGCACAACTAATATTTTTATCAAAATTACATTTAAAAACCCATCTACCGATTTCTTCTAGAGATGTATCTCAATAATTATTGGATAAATACTGTTAGCTCAAAAAGCGCAACTGACATCATTAATTAGTAGCAGTGGATCTCCTTGTGAAACAGTTCATCCAGTGAAGTACTGCCACGTTACCCATTTCTGCCGCCAAGCAGTAATGTCAGCATTACTGTGTTCCGGTTTTGAAGGGAAAGGGTGCTGGTGGAATTATAGACACATGGGACTTGTCAACTTATGTCTCAGGGTGACGGGCGCAGTGGCAGTGCCCCTCAGATCTTTGCGATTTAAAACTCTAGTGGCTCTGCAAGTGTTATAGATAGTCGTGTGGCTTACCATCAGGTGCGCGACTTATTCCTCCCGTAACTTAATATTATAAAAAAAAAACAGATTTTCTACCTTAAAAAAGATATAAATATTTGATGTTTATTAAGTTAAATTATTGATTATGTTGTAAAAATCGTTGACTACATTAAACCTAGTTTGATATTTTGATTTTGTAGGCTATGAATGGTATTTCTTTTACATTATCCTGGTTGAAATACTAATATCAAAGGATTTTACTTAGTGGTGTATATGTATATGTCCTTATTTTGTACCTCAATTACGATAATCAGATTTTCACTACTAATAATTGTGCCTTTTAGTCCTATTATAAGTCAAGTTTTAAATTTAAAAATCCCGTTTAGTTAAGCCCACCCACATGCAATGAGTAATATTATATATTTTTATACTTTTTTTCTACTAAACTAAAAGAGAATAATAAGGTTTTTTTTAAAAACGGTTAATTAAAATAACCCGAATATTTCTATATAAAATATGTCTTATGTATATTAAACCAAATAAACTATTTAATCGTTAATTTATTAAACATAGGAAATAAACCATTTCGATCGAAATTGCGTGTATTAGGTTTTTCAAACAAACCAACGTTTCGAGCCCTTTGCAGGTGCCATGGTTACGAGATCATGAGATCACCATCTACGTCAGTCGTGATCATGGCACCTGTAAAGGGCCCGAAAAGTTGGTTTGTTTAAAAAAACAAATATACGTGAATTAGATCTGAAAAATAGCTTCATTTTCTAAACTATGTAATATCAATAATATCAAAGTTATATCTATTTAAATGTAATTTTTTTATTTGTCTCTTAATTTTAAATTTGCTGCTTATGCCTTTCTTTCTTCCGAAAGCAGAATACTAAATTGTATCGTTATTTAATGAAATCATCACCGACCCTACAGACGTACGTTGAATCTCTGGATTTATTTTTCAGTAAAACCAATAAACATGTTTCTCTAAAAGTATTTTGTATGAATGTTTCAGATAACGTTCTTCTTCGTTCTGTTGCTTTAGTGTCCACTCTCTATTGTTAATGTTAAACCTATTTCGTTGTTCCAGTGTATATTTGAAAGATGACTTCGCGGTTTTACCCTATCTCGAAGCTGGCTACAACAGGGTAAGTTTAGACATAGAATTAGTTGCGTCAGTGCCCATTGCTATAAATATATTTGTAATAAATGTGTATTTTGCTGCTAAATCTAGCCAGCATAATATTAGTTAAAAAAATTGCATAAGTCTCAAACATAAGACAATTTGCTTATTAATTTCCAATGATGTACTTATTACTAGACGATTTTTTATCACACCGCATTGTGTGCTTTACCCAAGGACGTTCACACACCGAATATAACACAGTGATATACATACATCTTGTTGCTGTGATACCAATCAACAGGATGAACAAGTCGTGCACCTGCTGTTAATCGACATGCCTATCCGTAGCAGTTGTAAGATCAGATGGACACCGCCACTGCGCCTGTCACCCTGAAACATAAGTTGACCAGTCTCACGTGCCTGCAATTTCACCAGCACCCTTAGCCGTAAAACCTGAACCCTTCAAAACCGGAACACAGTGATGCTGACATTACTGCTTCACGGCAGAAATAGGTAAGGTGGTAGCACTTCCCTGGACGAACTCTTTCACAAGGAGCTCTACTGCTAAAAAAAGGATGCAAATAAGATTTTTCTTTTTAAGTCGACAATTTGCAACTTAAATAGACTTTTTATTTGTGACACTGGTCATTAATAAGTCTATAAATACTTTATGAAAAAACAGAATATTTTAATAGCAGTAGAGCTTCTTTTGAGAGGGTTCGTCCAGAGAAGTATTGCCATCTTACCGATTTCTGCCGCGAAGCAATAATGTCAGCATTACTGTGTTTCAGTTTTGAAGGGTAAGGATGCTGGCACATGGGACTTGTCAAAGTATGTCTCAGGGTGATGGGCGCAGTGGCAGTGCCCCGCAGATCTTTGCGATTTAAAAACTCTGAGTGGCACTGTAACTGTTATGGACAGGCGTGTAGCTTACCATCAGGCGTACGACTTGTTCGTCCCGTCACTTAATATTATATAAAAAAAAAGTTTAAAAACCTGTATTTATACAGTAAATAAAAAACATTTTTTCATTACCTACTACCTACTACCGAGGATTTGTTTCTTAGTTGTTTACTTAGTCAAAGAATGACTGAAATAAAACAAAAACAAGATTCATTGGGATATTATTAATTGGACTTCATCTTCGACTGTTACCGTTAAGAAAAACAAACGCTATTGCTTATCTGTGTAACGGACTGGGCAGATTTTTGGAAATATTTCTTTCAGTTATTATGAATCCATATCGAGTTCTTAGGTTTTCGCGATTGTTACAAAGAGGAAATGAAACTATTTTTCCGGATTTAAATCGCGTATATTTGCTTTTTCGTTTTTTCAAACAAACCAACGTTTCGAGCCCTTTACAGGGCCCATGGTCACGGTTGACTGAGGTGGTACAGTCATCAACCAGTTATGTCTAATATTAATGCAAACCACCCTATTTTTTCACTGTAGTTACTAAAGTTATTAATAAAATACTTTATTTTTAATTTTACAAAGAAACATTCCAATTTACGCTACATTGTTTTACAAATTATTTTATTGTAACAATATGAATTTTTATTGACTCAAATTTATTATTAATTAATAATGGAAATTAGAATAAATTTAAACATGTTAATTAGTACTGCAGTCTTATGTCTGCTTGGGATTTTTCATCAGAGGAAATACTGGATCCCAAACTGGTGGTACGGAGAAACCATCTTCTCTGTTGAAATAAGTGATGTTTTTTAATTTCAATGGCCTCTCGCAGCATTGTGGGGGCCTACCACAATCTCTTCAAACAATATTACTTTAACCTTACATTGACTTTTCGTACCATGACGCTCTTAAAGTAAGCTTATTATAATGTTAAAACTATGCTGTTTTATTAGCAGTTTTGTGACTATTCATTCACTCAGTTCGTACTAAGACGCGATTTTAACATCAAAGTAATATTGCTCATAAGTCAAATTTAGCAATCTTAAAATAGTTACACGGATGCAATCGAAACAGTATTATTTTCCAATTTATTGTCTAAATATTATTTGTAATGATTAAAAGTTAAGTTGAACTTATTTATTTACATATATCTCTTCAATATTTTGTTTATTTAATAGTACGATAGGAAATAATTTCTCGTTAAATAAAAATACGCGATGTTTATTTCGTAAAATTATTACAGCGACATCTATAGATATGCTCCTGGGCGACACTACACTACAGTTGACACTAGACTATAATTCCGAATTCACAACGTAACAATCAAGACTCAGCTTGTTTTATTTATTTTTGTTCATGAAAATGCGGCAAAATAATTGAAAACAACGTAATTTTAATAGACTTCATTATTACATACTTTTCTTTTTTTGGCAGTTAAAATTCTCTAAATGTCAATAATATTCAGCTTCAACATTATATTACACCACGATATGACAATTCGGAACATCAAAAAAGAAAGAGATGACATTATACAGTTCATATAGGGTTATTTATTTCCTATTTTTAGTAAAGAATAGACAATATTGGGAAATCATTCGTTCTTTCAGTCACTTTAGCAATAATACATTACTTGATTGACAAGTTTTTCATGGTAGGAATATGAGTAATATTATAATAAGCTTACTTTAAGCTTACATTGAAATAAGATTGTTTGTGGAAAGGTTATGGTAGGCCCCCTGGGTAGATAACTTCTTTCGTAAGGACCTGGGGTTTGTCAAACTTCATTGAATATGTAGGTTTATCCATGACATGCTCGCAAACTGCAGACTTGTTTACGCCACGGTGTTTGACATCAGCTATATGTTCTTTGACGCGGATACAAATACTTCGCTTTGTTTGTTCAATATAAGAGAGACCGCACTCACAGTCAAACTCGTAAACTCCTGCATCCTGTAAGGGGATGTTACATTTCGCGGGTCTCAGGAACTGAGAAATCTTCTTCAGAGGCTTGAAATAGGTCTTGAGAGATGCACGCCTGAGGATTCTTCCGATCTTGTCTGTAATACCTCTCACGTAAGGTAAAAAATTGCAGGTCTTCGCTCGAACGTTGATTTGTTTGAAAAAACAAATATACGCGATTTAAATTCGGAAAAATGTTTCATTTCCTATATTATATATCCATTGTGGGCGCCAGGGCCATGCATGGAATACCTTTGTGGTAGGAGACGTAACTTGTAACAAAACAAGTTCGAACCTCTCAACACGGACATGCGTTTGAGTTGAAAGACATTATCGTTATTCCCATCCACACCCTTTTGTCATTGTGCCCTCCTTCATCATCTTTTATCATCCTCTTTTCTGGTTCCTGGCCACTTATTTTTAAAATTTTAAATCGTTCTAGAATTCCCTTTTCCTTCACTGTTCTTACGTTTGTTCTGTCCGGCGTCACTAAAATCAAAATTATTGAAACGAGAGGACGTGCCCATAAATCACCTCCAATTCCTTATTATTAAACTTCAAGTCGATTACTATTTAAATTACACTACAAACTTCATCCTCGAGATTAGCACATTAGACACTAAACTTGTAGTAAATTTTAGCACTCGCCATTCTATACTATGTTCAGAATTTTTTACTTTATTTTTTAAAGGAGGATAAATTGACCGTATACAACTTTGCTTAAACTTTTGTTGGATGCGGCCTGAATCATCTGTGATTGTCAACATGCTCACTCTGTTACAATGAGAAATTAGGGAACAGCTTCAAATAATAAAAATAGATAAGCTCTTCTTCGGTGAAAACCTAGCAGTAACCTTCAAAGGCCATCAATAAGTCAGGAATAGATCTGAAATAGCCTGCACCTAAAGTTCCAAACAAAAAACTAACACAGAATACTCCTAATTCTTCGAAGAACCTAAAGTGGAAAGATGGCGGGTCCGATTCAAGAAGCGAGCCCACCGAGGATGAATCAACCTGCGGCGTCCTTGACAAACAGTTGCAGCGTCCACAGGGGCAACCGGGTTTCACTCGTCGCTAAATATGATAAATACAGCCTGTAGATTATCGCATTTCTATAATCTATGATTACTAATAGCCCAATGGTTTTTTCATATATACCGAGCTGTAGGATTGCATTTTTACAGTCAACGAGGCAGCTGTTGCCACCCAAAATGCGTAATTCTGACGCAAAAAGGATAAATTTTTAGATGCGATTAACAATTTGCTAACTATCTGGGCTATTTCAGAGTGTCAAGTTCGAGATGATCAATATTTTGTCCAATGTGTTTTTGGTACCCAAAGTAAGTAAGTAAGATGCGCTTTATTTTAAAGTTAAAAAGCTTAAAAAAGTTTCTAAATACGAATCATTTCAAACTGGAAGCCTTGAGAACAGTACTAAAGCTCCATTACAGGGGAATGTTATTTATGTAGAGTCGATTTAAAAGACGCATAGTTTTTAATTAAGGTGCACGAAGATGTTACCTTACGTTCCAGTTCGTAAACATTATTTATGAATATAATGTGTTAACCTTTGGTTTAACTACGGCAGCTTTTGTGCTTACAAAGATGATGAAGCTGGTCGTAAAATTGCTATCCCTTAGCAATTTTACTTGGATATTTATCTACTATTTACTTAGATGACATATGCTTAATTAGTCACAATTATCAAGCATGTCTTAAAAATTTAAAAGAAACAATAAAGCTTACATGTTTGGGTTTCCGTAGCCCTATTGATTGAAAAATATGAAATGTATGTAAGGCTCTACTCTAAACTAAATGAAACAAATCGTAGGTGCATGGAGCAAGCGGTCAATATACCATCCTTTAAAAAACAAAAAATTAAATAAAATATTTTGAACATAGTGTGGAATGGTGAGTGCTACGTGCTACTACAAGTGTCTAATAAGCTAATCTCCTCGAACGAAGCCTTCGTATAGTTAAGTTCGTTTAATCTCTCATTATATAGTTATATGGGCCCTTTTGGCCCTTCCTTTTCCTCTATTATCATCTCTTACAATAAGTCTTGTGGACCGAGCTTTATGCATTCGCATTTCTTATAGGCTAGGCTTATAAACTAGATATAGTGCCTCCGTGGCCGAACGGTTACCATGCCGGACTGCCACGCAGAGGTCCCAGGTTCGATTCCCGGGCCGGGAGAAATATTTGTATGGCCTACATTTATTTCTCTCGTGAGTTTGGGTGTAATTTGTGGTTGTCTATGTGTGTCCATGGCACCTGCGACCCAGGGTTTCCCTATTGCGGGGATATGTTGAGTGTGTGTGCGTTATTATTATAGACATTACAACATGGCTATAATTTGCCGTGATAAGATTTTTATTGTGAGGTATTCATTACCTTAGGCTGAGATCACATTGACTCTTAAATGGAAGAAATTGAACTAAAATGCGTATCACAGTGTTTGGTCAGCGTACACAAGCCATCAATTAAACCGAGTAAATGGACTCCAGCAACCACAAGTCTCAACTTAATTAGAAAAAATTATCACATTGTAGTTAATTAAGTTTATACAGTTTCAAGCAAGAGTTAACTAGATTGTTATTACCGCTTTGGGTTAATTGTCAATAGCAATGTCCAAATTTCAATGAATTCCGATTGTAATTCGGTCTGTCTATATATTAATTACTAAAGTCCCTTTTGTTCGGGTCTGAATGGTTGGTAGTTGGACTTGATTTCGTTACTCGGTTAATCACAGGACAGGGATTTCCCAAGTTTGAGGTTATCTTATTGATAGAAGTGTCTGGTTCGTTATTATATAGGACAATAGATATT